TCCCGGCACAGACAGTCCCCGATCCCCGGGGAGACGCATTTTGCTCCGAAAGGAGAAATTAATACAGCGGCTAACCTCGGCTCTCTCCTGTTCACCTTTGTTCTTTTTCTCTATACTTCTGCTTTATGTACACACAAATCAGAAGGCCTGTCCACAGCTCTGTATTCACTGAAGGACACCACCTCCATTACATTACATCTGTGAGGTCTCATTTATCTTTATAGTCAAGGATCAAGTCACACTACCTTTCTATGAGAGTCACCTTTAAGCATCTTTCGAGACACTGGATCTCACTTTGCTCATGGCAACTGCCGCTGTCTATGAGGACAAGCTGAGAACTTCCTTCTGAGATCAATAGTAGATCATATTATCATTACTATTTTTCATTTGGTGGAGCAGGAGTGTACCCTTTCCCTTCATGTAGTCACATCACTGATGCTAACAGGTTGCAGGATAACAAACTTCAAAGCCTTAGAAGCCAAAGGTAGAGCCAGAACATGATACACACATATTCCTGATATCATAAGAAGGAATAACCTATGTTTATGTTTCATGATGAGAATAAAAATATCAATGATTGTCTTACTATGATTGATTAAATCATTAATTAAATTAATTTAATAAATAAATTAAAGTGTGTGTGTTTGAGCCCAGAGTGACAGATGCGCTTGGTGACAATATCAAAAATAGCATATCATCACGGGGATCAGGTCACAATTTATTGTTATTGTCATAACCCAAAGAAGAGTCTGAGTCTTCACTCAGAATACAGTGAAGAAGGATGTGTGGATGATCAAATGAGCAAAGGCATTTGAGCCGTGAAGGATTCTTAATGGGGCAGAATTTACTGAAGCCGCTGAAGTGGGCAGATAAAACCTGCTTGTGGTAAATGAACAACAGGCAAATCCCTCACACTGTAGCACATCCACAGTTTTACCCAGTTCTCACTCCATCAAACCGAATCATCAATAAACATGCTTCTATATAAGCTCACACACACGTTAAAACAAAACGCTATTTTCTGAAATTATTGAGATCATTCAAAATAAAAAGTGCTCACCACTAACAGTTCAGTTGTGTTTTGGAGTCAGCCAAAGGCGCTAATTTCAGTGGATTTTGTGCCGCATGGTTGAATATGTGCACATGAGTTGGCCAGACTGGAAAAGGGGAAAGGTAAATTCTAAACTAAGGAGAAACTAAAAACGCTGGGATAGACAAAGGTACTCAATCAACAAGATGACTAGGCTAAATTAGTTTAATAATGTCAAAAAGGCAATTCACCCTTAATGAAACGCCTAGCAGGCACAGACTATGTACACAAATGTGAGTGCAGAAGATGTGTGAAGAATTAAGTGTGGGCAGCCAGACATATTTCAGAGGCGCTTGGACTGAACCATCAACACAGAGCTTATGGAGAGTTGGGACTCCTGTAAGGGGTATCTCCCATCACATCTATAAATAATGTGCTCCTAAGCCCAGGCTTTTATAAACACACGTCGTCACAGCTGCGGCTTGTGCCATAAAAGGTTAACGTAAGGGATTCCCACACCACATACATCTTCAACACATGTTAAGGTAGGGCTGGGCATTATGCCAAAAAAAAAAAAAAAAGTTTTTTCCTCATATTGATTGATCATGAGTTTCAGTTAAATTTGATTTGGTCTGTTTAAAACAAATTAATAATGGCATTGTACATTGATTTCTGTAATTTTCCTTGATTCCTTGATTTTCCCTAATAATAAACTAATAAACCTTCAGTGAAAAAAGTCATATTTCTCCCTCCAAAGACTAAACATTGCTCCAGTGACTAAGGATTTGGTGTGCACTGCTCAAGTATATCATTAAAAATTAGAAATTCCTGGTTCTAAATTGCATTTAAAATTCATTAATTACACAGCCCTATGCTAAGCTAAAGCATTTACCATTTTGGGTTACTAAACAACTAACAATTAGACCAGAAGCTCATGTTTTAATTCCCAAAAATAAACAATACAAAACTTTCAAATGTCTGTATAATAAATATAAAAATATTTAATTATTTGTGATAGACACTTTAGGGCTGATGACTCGGCCACATATCATGTCTGTAATTCTGCTGGTCATTTAGGCTCTTCCTTTGCAGGACATCAATAATAAATGGCTAGTATATTTTCTCTCTCCTAAGAACCAATCAATCACTGTACTCAGACTTTTCCTGTCCATGCCAGAGCCCCATGATTCCACATTCAGCTGCGCCACAATACTCAAGATGTGACACATACCACTCCTTGTTACAGAAGAGAGATATGCTACTGTGTGTGCTGTTGGCAAGCCCCTCATTGGTATAAATTACAGAGGCTACTAAACAGACGGTCGCATGTGAGGGGCTAAATGTGGCCCAACCTATGGTGCAAATGAGCCATAGGGCAAAGGTCAGGAAAAGACACTACAACTTCCATCTGTCTGAATGCTGCTGGTGATGTGCAAAGCTCAAAGAGTATGCCAAGATACTTACAGGGATACACATCGTTAACAGATGAACAAACAAAAAACAAAAGAGGCATTTTGGCTGTCACTTCAACAAAGGATTGTAAAACAACAAATAATGTAGTTTTAAAGGATTTTCTTATGGTTTAATGTATCTATTTTGTGTATATTCTGAACCCTGTGAGAAGGATGTGTTGTCCTGCATATGTGCGTCAACCTAACCTCTATGTCATCACAGAGAAGGAATATGAGAAAAAAAAAAAAAGATCACAACTTTTTTCCCTTCTTTTCAATTAGGTTTTTATTTTGCCTAATTAAAAGCAAATACAAATGCCTTTGTGTTTAATCATTGCCTTTTGACTCAAAAATATTACTATTCCTCCAGACTCTGAATTTTGCTCCAAAATTTTGAGACATGATTGGGTTTAATCATATCAAGTCAAATGATCTAAGATGATCCTTGACAATAAGAAATTACTGAATATCAATAAAAATTTGATTAAAATTGCATTAACTCCACTACTTTACTCTTATGTATATTATAATAAATGTGCAATCAAAATTAATGAACAGAAAACTAGAGTCTCTAAGAAGCAAACCTCAAAATTAACATGTGTACTTTGTGCTGCTCAGACTGGCAACGCAGGGAGGAGACTTAACAGTGACAAAGAGGACCTTTACAGTGAATGAATGAGGGGGGCATTGGAGGACAAGTGGCACTTAACATTTCAAATGCTCAGTTTAAGTTAGGGACCCAGTAAAATACACTCAACTCAGGTCTGCTGTTTGGAGAGGGAGGCCGACCGTTATGCTATTGCTATAAAAACAAACCAACAATGGGCAAAATTTTGTATGTCCTGTACATGTATGGGCGGGCATCAAATGAATTATAAGTTATTTAAATCAAGATTCTTTTGAAATTTAAAATGTGACACTATTAAAATTATGTATTGACAAATGTTTTTTCTGCAGTTCATTATAATAACTTGCTTGTAAAAACTGCTGCTGTGCAAAATAAAATACGTTTCAGGCTCTATTTTTTGGGTTCAAAATATCTAGTTTTGCATTAACCTGAATTAAAGAGTGACGTAATGTTTATCTTGGGAGTACATCTGCTAGTGCAAGTTTGCATCTTACTGTATCTGCAGCTGTGTTGGGCAGAAGGAGCACGGTGCCTCTAAGGTGAGAGCTGGGACTAAAGTAGGTGTCTATGGAGAGAGATTACAGTGGAGAGCAGCTTCACCTCTTTGGCACAACACGCAAACACACACACCTGCAAACGACAATCGCATCTGTTCAACACAGTTACACCACTGCTCCAATTAAAGGATCAGGGGGAGTTTGCACTGCGTCGCTACAAAGCAGTCCTGGGGCTCAAATCAATTACGATAGATCAAACGCATCATAATTGAGTGTTGCCATATAATTAATTTCCTGGTCACATGGTACAAATCTCGGTGTGGTAAGCAACTCATGCACAATTAATCAAAAGGAAACACAGATGCAGGTAATGCTACATCATGGGAATCCAGGTAGGAATAGAAATGTGCAGATATGCAATATACAATGTTTGTTACATACAACTCAAGTGCACCCAGCTGCTATAATAAGAAAATAACAACAATCTATAATGTCACCCAGAATGTCACAGGCAAAGGTCAAACACACCTAATGAGTAACAATAAATATATGACATGTGGTACATGACAAACGCAAGTCTCACGAGACTAGGAAAAACGAAGCAACAAAACAAGTATTAGATACTGTATAGTGATAATGTTGCTGCTGCTATACGATGAGGATACATATGAGACCATGCATGGGGTTTCCCTCTAAAATAAACACACGTTGGCATTGGCAGAGGGACAGCTGGACTTGTCTAAACAAAAAAAGCAAAGAATAAGGAGAAATCCCTCACGTAAAACAAGAATTAATCCTTTTGGAGACAGACACTCCTATGTACCACTTGTGCACTTTACAAGACACTTCTTAAAGTTTAGTGACAGGCCTAAAGTTGGGCTCTGGTTTGTTTCAGTGCTGCACTGTGCTATTTAACTGATGGGTCAAGCACCTCCAAGTATGACCTCATACTTTTCCAGTGTTTACATGTTGTATACATTACAGCTTATATGGCACTAAGCTTTAAAAGCCCTGACAGAATGCACTCTTGAGTGGGAGTCAGTTGGCGTGCTTTGGTCTCTGCAGCTTCTTTTTTGTTTACACTTTACTTATTATAAATTATAGGCCTATACAATCAACTTAAAAATCCAAATGATGTGTCAGGAATAACACAAGTGAATCAATCTATTTATTAAATGTCAGCAGATGTTTCGGTTGAGAAATGTCCCAGTCAATTGGATAAACTGAACTGAATCGGAGAGAGGCTATTGTAATGAACAGCAGACAGGCCTATGCTGTAATAAGGTGTGTATGTATGTATGTATGTATGTATGTATGTATGTATGGCATATGATCCAAAAAAAATGGTAAAAAATCAAACTGGAGATTTTAAAAACTTTAAAAACTGTACTCACATGAATGCGTGGTAGATAAATGCCCATCCTCGTGGTCTTTCCAGCACGTTGTACAGGCAGTTCTGTAACTTTCTGTATCTCTTGCTGGAGGCGGAGGTGCTGGCCCGAGGTCCTGGGGGTCCGGGCAACGGAGTCCCAAGCAGACCGGTGCGGTGAGACGGGTGGCCTCGCTCCGGCGTGGACGGCTCGCTTCTCTCAGTGTGGACAGCGGTCAGAGCGACGAACTCCACACGCCTGTCATCGTTTGGAGCCGGAGGAGCTAGCATCCTGATGCCGCCGTTGTTGGACGGGCTTCCTAACATCTTTCAATGTGCACCTCAAACTACGTAAGAAGTTTGGAAGTAGTCATAGCCGGCTCAGGATTACAAGTCTACCATCACTGTGCTCTGCAGCTGGCCTGATTCTTAAGCACAATTTAACAGTTATCTGTAAATCAAGTCGCCAAAGTAAAAATTTGAAACACTCGGACACTTTCTATGCTGCATTAAAACGCGCATTTTACCTGACATTGTTATGAACTAAACTTGATTCCAAATTAGCGACAAAAATCTCATGCACTGAATCCAAAAGCACAGCGGAGCTCTGAAAGAGAGCCGCTACTGAACTGGCATCACTTCCCGAAATGACAGTTCAAAGTGACCTCAAGTAAACGACAAGACCACTGTAAAAACTGCGAGTTTGCTACAAGTCATGGCGGTAAAGTTACGCACGCGGAATATTAGCGGTCCATCGCTTGTACAGTGACAATTAGTTAATTTACTGTAAAGAGATCAGCCTGAGACTTGCCCCATCCACAGCGTCCTCCTCCTCGCGCCCAATCTGCGATCCAGAGGAGTGCTGTGCGCGCGCACCGTAACTAAACAACATGACTGTGATGCCCAAACTCCCAAGACTTCAGAAGAGTAGTCAGAAACCACACACAAGTGCGTTCCACTACACCGGCGGTGTGCGTGATGGAGAGGGACGAGGTGCGCCTGTGATGGAGCGCGCGCAGGAGGAGGAACGGCGCACGAGCACACAGTGACGGATCGGAGGGAAATCGGTCTCCGAATTTGTCCAGCTTTTCCAGGAGGACCACAAAAGGCAGAATACTTCTACAATAAAGTTTTTCATTGTTATATTAATCAGTTACTCAAATGCTCGTCTCTTTCCCTGTTCTCAGATACAAATGCCATTCTTGTTTAGTATGGAAAAGGGACTTAGTTGGTCATTAAATCCACGCGGGGCAGGTGCTGGGACGCTATCCACACATTTCCCTTTTTAGAGTCTACCGTGGCGTCGCTTTGTAAAATCAATGACTGTGACACACCACAGGGTTGTGGTCACAGCACAAATGCAGGGGACCTCCGTCAAATGTAGCCTATCCAACTAGTGTTGGAAAAGTGACGTGGTCCCCTTTCCGAATTCTGCTGTTGCCACAAAGTCATTTTACCAAAAGCTCAATCTGCAGCGTGGGAAATAATGTAGGCCTCCCAGAACCAAAAAAACTGACTTAACAGTGTATTTAATTGGTACGCTATGTGTCATTAGTATGCAAATAGACATTTTTTGTATAGGCAATCTATTATTCATATAGAAATACGTTGAGATGACAAATCAGGTAAAAGAAATCCTCTTTGAAAATTGTTGAAGACAACTAGGCTCTGAGCTCCCTTTGTCTCACTGGACCTGTCCAAAGCTCATAACTGTGTGTCAGTTGAGGTCTGGTACAATGAAATGTATGGAATGGTATGCAGGAGTATTGACTTTTCACACTCTCAGATCTGAACATTATTCCTCCATTAAACTGTTCCACTTGGCCAATCTTCACATGTTCAGATCAGGTCACACACCAACAGCTTAAGGACTTCACAGTGGATAGTGAGACAAGATTGACTGTTGACAGCTGAACATTTTATAGCAAAGTGTTAATGCACAGGGTGGTTGGCGAGCATGGCTAATCAGACCTATTTAGGTGCTTGTGCTATCCAAAGGGTAACAAAAGGATAAGGTCACACGACGCTTTTGAGAATACAATGAGGTGGAAGAAGTGCCTACTGAAGATAATAGGTACAATTTAAGTGAATACACAAATACTCAAAATACTGCTGGGAAGTGAGTTAGTTTTTCTAAGATTTTGAAATTATTATAATTCCACTACTAGTCCAAGAGTAATAATCTCTGTATAATAATTTAAGATATTTTCTATATTCTTATTTAAAGATGCACTGTGTAACTTTTTGGTTGGGGGTCCGTCACCTACTTATTTCTATGGATATGTCATTGCTCTGCTAAGAATGTTCCACAGTATGACATTAAACAGCTCTACTTTAAATGTATTTATGTTTCATAGTTCATAAATATCTCAAAAATCTGGCACTCTGACTGTAACCAGGATTGCCTCTCCACAGATTAGGTTTGGTCTCTATGAAGGTAGAAAGGTTTAATGTCTTACTGTGAAACATTCCAGACAAAGCAAGAACATTTCCATGGAGAAAAGCATAGACACTCCTCCAGAAAAGTTTCACAATACACCTTTAACTATCCATAATTTAAGAAAAACAACCATTTTCAACAATGTTCTGCAGTGATCTGGTGCTAGTAGAAAGTTTTTTCCCCCCTTTTTGTTTGACTAAAGCTCAAGAAGGTTGATTCATCTATGAAATAATTGTGGATTACATCTATGAGGGTTGAACTGCTTTTAAAATCTGGCCACAAACTGCAAAATAGCTTTCCATCTTACATATTTATAGAAAATAGGAGAAAGTGTATCTAAAAATGTAAAATACACAGTAGAGTCTTGTACATTTCAACCTCCTCTCATTGAGTAAGAGGGGGTACTATCCAAACACCATGCACAACACCGTCCTGTATTAGAACAACCTGCTCTCTGTTTCCAAGCAGGCCTGGGGGGTGGGGCTAAGGTGGTGACAGACAGGACGGCTCTGGGACAACCTCAGAGGACTGACATCAAAGTTCCACTGGCAAAAGTACATGGCAGCTCCTCCCTCCAAACGGTTATACTTTAGAGTTAATAACATTGGAGCATCAAGAATGAGAAGTAGACAAAGTGGCTAATATAGAAAGAACTGTGACAACACACAACAGCTGAACAAGGTCAAACAGCACAAAGTGGGACTAACCTCCACAGACCACACATTCATAAACAAACAAGAACATACTTTTAATGCTGCAGTCAGTACAGACAGCTTGTCACTGCAAGTGGAAGTTTTATTCTAACCTTAGTGTTACATAAAGTGTTTCCTAGTTGAGAAATACAATTTAAGATTTGAAATGTGAAATCAGGGGCAGATAGTATTTTCTATAGCAAATTATGATCATTATTAAAAAAGCATTTAAAAAAGTACAAAATTAAAAGAATGGGTATAATAGATCTTAAGTCTAAATATTTGTATTAATTTATATTGGCAAGTATAAATTTAAGAGGTTTGGTAAAAAGAAACTAGCAACCTTAAAAGTCCAGTATGACCATTCATTTGTTTCTTCTCTTTTTTCACATTCAAGAATCATTAACATCAGATCTATAGAGCACTAGGAGTCAGCAGCTATTCAGGAAACTTAAAAATACTTAAATCAGCAGCTGTACAGAACAAACACTCAGACCCCCACCTATTGTGTATTTTCACTGCACAGTGAACTTATATATACCACTTAGTGCTCTCTGTGAAATTACTCGTTTGGCTTTCCGTTAACAGTGGTTTCCTTTTCTGTAACAGGACATGCTCCAAGCATCATGAAAAACTGACAAAAAGGATTCCTGTGTTAATTGCTTTAAACATTTAGTCATTTATTGCTCAAGAAACAGATTTTCTAAAAATCAACATTGGCTATGTTCACATGCACACTAAAATCAAATTTCTGGATATTTAAGATTATTGAAATGACATGTAAAGCATTCAGAACAGATGCCTGAGCCACCTTAGTTGGCTCCTCTGGGCTCCTCTGGACTCCTCTGGAGCAGCGGCTCTACTCTGAGATCCTCCAGTGACTGAGCTCCTCACCCTATTTCCGAGGGAGCGCCCTTCCACCCTGCGAAGGAAACTCATTTCGACCGCTTGTCCTTTCGGTCATTATTTGTTGTTTACATGACATTTTAACAGATTTCTTACATCAAAAATCAGATAACAATCATGTCTAGAGTGTGCATGTAACAGCAGCCTGTGACACATTTAGTCATGCACACTCACACTTGTGAAGAGATTTTTGGTATCAATTAAACTGACATGTCAACAACTAAATCATCTGATTTCTTACTGATCATGGTCCCTCAGATTACTCTCAATTTGTGGTTTGGTTTGCATGTCTTTTAAATAATCTTAAAAGTCCAGAAATCAGATAAAATTCATATTTTGGTGTGCATTTAAACATAGCCAGCCCTTCCTCCACCAAATAAGCTAAAAATAATGTTAACTCAGTAAACTCAGTTATTTATTTATTTTGTAAAGTGGTGAATTGCCATGGACATTTTGAAATGATAAGTTCAATGATGTGTTAAAATGTTGTTTAAGGATTATTCCCTAAACTGTAAGCCCTTCTCACAAGTCCAGTCTGGTGAGTTACTCTTAACCTGAGACCACCCTGGAGCTTTTGCCCCATCATAAAGTCCGGAGGCAGACAGCTTTAATTCTTCTGACTGCTGTAACATTGATCTGACCAGACAGCCAAGTAAAATACAGTCTGTTTCATGCTTGACTGGGGCTCAAATACGCACAATCCTTTTTAGACCTTATTAGATGAAGCAGACACCCTCACTAATGTAGTGTACATTTTATGATCAGGCTCGTTACAGAGTTTGACCAGTACTCAAGGACAGTTATTTGATATTATATGTATATATGTATATATCAATCAATCAATCAAACTTTATTTGTATAGCACTTTTCATGCATTTGAAATGCAGCACAAAGTGCTTCACATGCAACAGAAAAAAAATTACAATATTAAAAACAACAGCAACCCCCCCACCCCATTATTTCATGCATATATACCACAATAAAACATAAACATAAAGCTCCTAAAGGTTATAGTAAAAATATAAATGGAGAGCTGTTTTTAGCAATTAAATTAAAAGCAAATAATAATAATAATTAAAGCCGCGCGCGGCGATGGTGGCCCTCGCCCCCGCGCGCAGTCGCTCCCCAGGCGACCGCCGGGGACTCGCGACCGCCCAGACACGCCACTCACTCTTCCCGACATCCGCCCAGGCCGACAGCTCGTCCATTAGACACATTATATAATGCACCTTTAAATATTTTTAGGAGTCATTGCGCCCCTGCTGTCCAACAGTGGAAAATGCACCATGTCCGTTATTTATTTTTTTGCTCATAGTCATGAATAGAACTTATTCCCTGAATTTGATACAAATCCAATAATGTTGACATGTCATGTCTATGGTAGGGGGCGCTATGGAGTTCACTTTTCATATGTTTTATAGTGTATTATATTCAGGCTGGGATCAGGTATTAGTGATTCAAATTTCAGCACGATCGGACTAAGTCTGTAGGTGTAATAATTTTTTAAATATTTTTGGGGGGAGTCTTTGCGCCCCTGCTGGCCAGTGGTGGAAAATGCATCATCTCCGTAAGACTTTTTTGCTTGTCATCATGCATAGAATTTTATTTCCGAATTTGGTACAAATTCGATAATGTTGATGTTTCATGTCTATGCTAGGGGGCGCTATAGAGTTCACTTTTATTAGATTTCATATTTCATTACATTCAGGCCTGGATCACGCAATTGTGATTTGAATTTGAGTTCTCTAGGACAATGCCTGTGGCCGTGACAGGTCACCGAAGAAACAGGAAATGAAGGTGTTTTTCGCCGGCGAGCTACGGGCGAACCGTAAGGAGTATCCCAAAAACGTGGATGATTTGAGTGAAGCTATGTCTTTAGATGTGACATGTCAAATCTGAGCTAATTTGGACCAAACACCAGGGACTAGTAGCATTGTGCACACACGCAAGTCAAAACGGCGCCGAATGTTTGATCCAATATGGCCGACTTCCTGTTCGTCATAGGGTCATGCTCCAATTCATCTTTTGTCTTGTCTCATTGTTCTCTATCACTGTCCCGAATTTCGTTTCCCTGCGACAAACTTTGCCTGTCCCCACTCCCATAGGGGTCCAATTCCAGGCGGCGCTGTTGAGTTGGGTCACTTTGGTCATTGTCGCGATGCCAATTTTATTGAATTTTTCGCCGAGCCGGTCGATCTGAACCCCGGTTTGGGAACTTTTCGTCCATGTTCAGGGGGTCAAAAATGCGATTCAATGTGGGGAAAAACTCGCCAGTTACTACGTTACTGGCTCGGGCCAATAATAATAATACAACAAGTAAAAGTTTCAATTGAAAGCTAAATTGAAAAGATATGTTTTGAGTTTACTTTTAAAAATATGAACACTCGCAGCGGACCTCAGATCCTCAGGTAGACTGTTCCACAAACGGGGGCCGTAAAAGCTGAATGATGCCTCACCGTGAGTTTCAGTTTGGACTCTTGGGACAGTTAAAAGAAGACTACCTGAGGACTTGAGAGTCCGAGAGGGCTCCTATGATAAAAGCAGATCAGATAAATAAATAGGACTAAGACCATTAAGAGCTTTATAAACTAATAAAATAACTTTAAAATCTATCCTGAAGCTCACAGGAAGCCAGTGCAGAGACTTAAGCACTGGGGTGATGTGCTCTCGCTTCCTGGTCCTCGTCAGCAGCTGTGCTGCAGAGTTTTGGAGGAGCTGTAGTGGAGCTGTAGTGGAGCTGTGGTTTTCTTTGGAAGACCAGAAAGGAGAGCATTACAGTAATCAACACGGTTTGTGATAAAAGCATGTATTAAAGTCTCTGCACTGGCTTGAGAGAGAAATGGTCTGACTCTGGCAATATTTTTTAGATGATAAAAAACAGATTTAGTGATGGACCTGATGTGTGGCTCAAAGCTAAGCTCACTATCAAGAATAACTCCTAAACTTTTTACCCTCTCACAGGGGTTCAATGAGTAGGTTTGGAGCTTAGCTTTGAGCTTCTCTCTCTGAGCTTCAGGACCAATAATTAAAACCTCAGTTTTGCCCTGGTTGTGCTGAAACTTAATATCTAAAATGCAGTTAAAAAGAGTATCGATCGGACTTAGGTCATCAGGATATATATGTGTATATATGTGTGTATTATATGTATTATATATATATATATGTATGTGTGTGTGTGTGTGTGTGTGTGTGTGTGTGTGTGTGTGTGTGTGTGTGTGTGTGTGTGTGTGTGTGTGTGTGTGTGTGTGTGTGTGTGTGTGTGTGTGTATTAGGGCTGGGCACGTTAACGCGTTAACTTTGCGTTAACTAAGTCATTAACGCCGACAATTATTTTAACGCTGTTAACGCAGTTTTTATTATTTATTTATTTATTTTATTGTAAACGCCTGAAAAAGTTCACCGCGAGCGTTTCTTTAAGTTTGACGTCTTTTCTTGACACTTTTTTCACTTTTTTCTGACACGTGAGATGCAACGTGCCCGAGCCTCCGCGAGCCGCGGGCCCCGGCCGCGGGTTCGGCCGCGGGCTCCGATTCCCGTCGCGGCTCTGGCCGCGAGTTCGGCCGCGGGCTCCGGCTCCGGCCGCGGACACAGCCGCGGGTTCAGCCGCGGGCACCGGCTCTGGCCGGACCAGCCGTGCGTTCTGAGCTGAGCTTATTTTTTTAGTTCAGTGCTGGAGTAACTGATTTACCCAGATACCATTGGAAGAAAAAATGTGATTGGTCCATTTCCATTCCATTATATTAGCCCTTTGTTTCCTAAGAAATATCAGTCCAAGTTTATAACAATGATCTAGAAATTATTACTAGTGTAGTGTTCATTACTCACAGCATAAAAAATATTCAATAAATATATTAGTATTACAAACGTCTATTCAATATTTTTTCTTGAGCCTTCCCTGAATACCCTGAAGGCTCTGAGGGTTCCCCTGTGAAAGAAATGCTGTTTGCACAACAAATGTATGGCTCTTTCATTTACATTTCCAATAAGAGTGCTATACTCTACTTTTTAATTCATGAATTGGTTTTGCGTATAACATGATTAATCGCTCGAACTCATGCGATTAATCGCGATCAAAAAATATTATTTTTGCCCAGCTCTAATATATATATATATATATATATACACACATACATACATATACACATATATATTTAGAAGATATGTATAATCGTCACTTGTGAATTGTAATATGGCATACAGCACCTCTCTAAACCAAAGTCACTTTCTAAGGCTCGGACAACACTGCACATTAAAGTTCCTTTATTGCAAAAAAATGTATTTGTGTGAGGTTTAAGTTATGTTAGAATGTTGTTAAGAGTGTTTTCTGTTTGAGAGAAGAATTCAGCTTAAATATACATGATGTTTGTGTAAAACATGTGTGAACGAAACAAAACTCAACTCCAGGTATGTTTTTGATGAGAAAAAGACATAGATCAGGAAAGAGCATAATAAGGGCCCTTTAAGGTATACTCATATATTGTATAAATATACTGTATAAAGAAGAATATAGTAGGCCTATTATGACATTTCAAAGATGAGTTCAGTTGTGTCATGATTTCTGAGAAAAGGAGGGCAGCCTAATTTTACAAAAGCAGCAGCCAAATAAGTCATGGCTCTGTTGTTACACAATTGCCCTTTTTGGTGGATTTATGTATTTGTCCTGGTGGGATATGCAAACAAAATTGTTGCTCAGTTACTCTTGGGTCCATGGGACTACGGTTTTGAGGGTCTACTGTGTGTTTTGTTGAAAAATAAGAATAAGATCAGTGCTGCCCTCTAGTGCCAGTGCACAGGAGAACACACATTATAAAGTGTAATATGTGTGCATTTTGAATATTTCGAGCACTTCCAAATTGGAATTGGTGTCTACCTGCATACTTGGTTGAGCTGCTTGCTGCTTTCTTTCACTATCTTGCATATCTCCTGCCTCCCTGCCTACTGGTCTACTATGTTTTATAATCCTGTAATAAAACAATAAGCAGCATTAGAAATGGAACCATTCTTGAACAATTCATTTTTATTTTTTTCACAAAGGTCGTTTACAAAAACAAACATGAAAATAAAAATGTACCCATCTTTTGCATGTCATGCTGTCCATTTCAACTACATGCACAACTAACAATAAGATGACAGATAATTACTGTACAAAATGTGGGGCAATCAACAATAGACATTGTTTGTTTTAAGACAAAAGTATTAAAAAAAGATGTTTTTTTCAGATTGAAATAAGTTGTGAGACCAGGCAACAAGACACAACCCACAAAAAAAGATCTGCCAAATGTTAAAGGAGACCCCCAGCTCCAAAAACAATGGGCTAACTGCCAAACAGAACCATGCTAACCAAAAATGTCTGAAAAATACAGGGCGACCAGTGAATAATGTGTTCCCTTAGTTTTATTTTCTACAAATGTGGCATCAGAGGTATATGGTTTATTAACATAGATAACAAAATTATACAAATATTTGCACAGAAAAGTGCAGAAAGTCACTGATTTATGAGCATGTTCTATTTAACGTTCAAATACAGAAAGTATAGACATTACAAACCTCTTCTATTAAAATGATGAGTGACATGACATGAGCACAGTACAAACAGACTTGATCACCATAGCTAAATGGACATGGTGAATGAGAAAACTATTTTTACATGTTGCATACATAAGAGATCCCCCTTTGGCTGCTGATGCTGCTTATCTATGACTGTAAATATGTTTAAGGAACAGATTTGAGGTCCCATCTAAATAAGCCATAATGAAAAGGTTCTCTAGTGTTGTCTGAAGTTGGTAGTTTCTCACACATGGGCTGGTGAGGCCTAAGTATGGATTCAGGGGCCTCAATCAGTGCTGACCTGTGTCACCTGAGCTTCCCCCGCCTGATTGGTCGACTGGATAAACATGGGCTGAGTGAGCTCCTGTCCTGCCGGCATAGTCACCTGCTGGATCTGGTACAACTGCTGCGAGACAAAGACAAAACAAAGCTTGAATACTTCCAAATGAAAACTTACTTTTCAGTAATTAATAAGTAAAAGGTACCTGTCCGTCAGTAAACTGGTTAAATTGCTGCTGCCCTTGTACATCTGACTGCGTTATCTAAAAATTAAGACATTTTTAAAACTAAAAAAACATTAGGAGTAAAACTTCTAGGTTATTTTGGATTATACCTGTTGGGTATTAGCAAGGGTCTGAAGTTGTCCTTGGACCACCTGAGCTCCTGAAACAGGCTGCGCTAGACGAATGTATTGTAGTTGACCTGCATTTAGCTGCACCTACACTCGAGAAACACAAGAGGGAGACAAAATCCACATCAATGTAAAGGTCATTGAAACCTTCTAGTCATGCTTTATATCAAGAGAACATTTAGCATAGGTTTGCTGTGTTAAGATGTACTACTTAATAGTACATTTTGTGAAAGTCTATTGATAAGCATGCTCTGATAATTGTAATATCTGTGAGATCATACCGGGATCTGCTGGATCTCCCCCGTGTTGGTGATGATTTGCTGCATGACCTGCATGGTCTGCCCCTGGGCCTGAGCAGTCTGTGCTTGACCTTGGGCTGCAGCTTGGACAATTTGTACTTGTTGGCCCTCACCCACTTGCATAGCCACCGGAGCACTCTAGAAAGCACAACCACAAAGTTAATGCAATGTTAAAACTGACAGAAAAAAAGATTCCTACATCTGCTAAGGTTTAATTTGAACAGTATGAAGGTCATGTATTGTTAAAGAGGCAGCAAGATGGAGGTGACAAGGCAGATTTCAGGCTGCTCACTCTCTTCCGACTGTCACAGTACCCAGAAAAGGCTACCTGATCGCTGGTGTGGTCATTTAAAAAGCCTTTAGTCCCCAGTAAGATTTAGAGCAGAATCAAACAGCAGACTGAAGCATGAAGATGTTGCATTTACCGTGATGGGAGTGCCTTGTGATTGCACCTGCATTTGCTGTAGCTGCTGCATTGTAGCGCCTTGCAGCATCTGATGGCCGCAAGAATAAACAACCAGGCGAAGGTGTTGGAATGAGAAAATGAGAAAAAGACACATGAGAGCAGTGAATGCAAGGACAATACACATGATGCAGGCACAAGTGGAGGGTATGCACATGTTAGCAAACACAGAAACGCAAGCAGCAGAAGCACATCTACAGTTTGCCATTCAAGACATGATCTGAACAGGTGGGGAACCAAAATTAATATAAATATGAAACTATTACAGTGGGAGTGCACACAAACATACTTTAATTTTTCAAAATATCACCAGACGGATTAAAGAAACCAAGTAAAGCATCAACTTGAGAGTATACTTGTTGGTACAAAGCCACTCATCACACTGAAGCTTATCACTGGCCGTGTTAATGAGAGTCTTCTTTAATAGCCTACAGTGTAGTGTTGAGGTGAGAGTGAAAGTGTGACCTCTGTGCTCTCACAGCAGGGACTGCAGTGGGAGAAGACCTAAGTGAGTCTGACAGCTCAGCTAAAGGCAGTGTGCTGAAGCAGCATTGAGCTGGGGCAGAGGCCGCACACAACCTATAAAGCACTCATAAGCAAAACAAGTGGAGATTATCAGAAAGAGATGACTACAAACTATATCATATTTATGCTGTCAAATTTATGTAATGTGTCCACAAGCTCTAATAT